ACGAGGCGTTGTGTTATCACATAACACAAACCGAGGCTTTGATAATTCTCGATTACATACGAAAACCGAATTCAATAATTGTTTTATTATATATTCAAAATATTAAAAATATGGAATTTTCGCGCGCTTTTTAGCAAACCACGCCGGGGCTTGGTAACCACAGCGTGCAATAATTATCACTTATTTACTGAGACCGAGGGAAACAGTGTGTTTTGTGGACCCGAGACCGTCGATGTTTCCCGAGGCGAAGCCGAGGGAAACATCGACGGTCGAGGGTCCACAAAATGCACTGCTTTCCCGAGGTCTCTGTAAATAAGTGTTTTATTATATATCAATAGTCAAAGAAACAACAAATTAAAGAACAAATGAACGTAAATACATTAAATATTTTATTGTTAAAACGTTATATTAAACGCTGACTACACTGCTGTTTACTTAATGCGAAAGTTTTAATTACGTACTAGGCATGTCCAAAGGTCGCATCTTCACGTGATGGCGCACGTGATTTTTTTGTTATTCACCGGTTGATAACGTATTATCTCCCTCTCGCGCTGTTGCGAGGGAGACAGCCTAATTTCGTCACTCTCACGTGATATGCTCTCAACCAATAAAACACTAGAAAAATGCGACTTTGACTATTGATATATAATAATACTTTTTGGACCAAACTTCGGTCCAAAAAGTATTATTCCACGCTGATGGCGTCAGCAGCTGAAATAACGCGACGGCGTCAAGATACCGAGAATTATCCGACGCGTTTCGACCAATCACGAACCAGAATAGATTTTGAATATATAATAATTGAAGTTATTATATGCACAAGGTTTGGATATGAGGTATTCCGCAATCTGATTGGTTCTCCACTATAGTAGGATATTAGCCGAGTAGAGAAAAACAAAATGGCGGCTAAAACTGACTCCGACGTTTTGCGAACGAGAAAACGGCCAGTTGTTCGCTTTTTATAGACTCGACAGGATTAAAACCTTGTGTAATATAATATTTATTTCACTCACTCGTGTTTCGATTCCTGCCGGAGTACCAAAGTTGCATTTTTCGCAATGTTCCCGGTTTGGTTACCATAATCGTATGTTTCTGCCTTCGTTCTCCTTAAACACCATCAACGTTTAATTTATGTTCAAATGAAACGACAGAAGTGCAAAAAAACCCAATCCATTAGTGATACCCTTTAAAAACCCGCACTATACCCGAACATTAACACATACGTGAATTTACGTCTTCTCCCACAAGCAACATTCTCCTTAGCTTAGTGGTGAGAGCACTGCTCCGGAATCGCAGAGGCGTAGGTTCGATTCCTGCCAGAGGACCAAAGTTGCATTTTTCGCAACGTTCTCGGTTTGGTTACCATAATCGTATGTTTCTGTCTTCGTTCTCCTTAATCACCATCAACATTTAATTTATGTTCAAATGAAACGACGGAAGTGCAAAAAACCCAATTCCATCAGTGATACCCTTTTAAAACCCGCACTATACCCGAACATTAACACATACGTGAATTTACGCGCCTTCTCCCACAAGCAACATTTTCCGTAGCTCAGTGGTGATAGCACTGCTCCGGAATCGCAGAGGCGTAGGTTCGATTCCCGCCGGAGGACCAAAGTTGCATTTTTCGCAACGTTCCCGGTTTGGTCACCATAATCGTATGTTTCTGCCTTCGTGATCTCCTTAATTTCTGCCTTAATTTATGTTCAAATGAAACGAAGGAAGTGAAAAAAAAAACAATCCATGAGGTTACATATAGTTTCATAAAGTTAATTTGAAAATTTTTTGTCAGATTTTCTGTGGCTAGGTTGGTGCCCTTTTATTAATAGTGAGGTTTAGATTTGACTACGAGAACTACAACGAGTACGCCGGAGGTTTTTCCCGCCAAAAGTACAGCCAACTTTCTGATGTCGTATTTGTATTTATTTTTTTGAGGTCCGTAACTCCAGGTCCTTAACTAAAATAAAGCCTTTTGATTGGCTTATTACGAGGTCCGTATCACACCAGTACGGACCTCTCGCGATTTCCCGCCAAAACAAACCTGGGAGTGAACACAACTTTTGGTGTAAAAAAAACACCGAAAAGTTTAAAAAACTGTGAGATAATGTAAAAATTATTTAATATTTCGACCCTATAAGACCTTAACATGGTGAACGACTAAAATATTATAGAAACCTTCAAGTTTGCGGAGCAACAACAACAGTTTTGACGGCGACGAAATTAGAAAATTCATTGAGCAACAAAAAAAACCGCTTAAAGAACTTTTTCAAACTATTATTATCCTAAAAGGGTCCAAAAAGTCTCAGCATACCTTCTTTCTTGTCCTTTAAGTTGAAAATTGTCTATTAAGTCTATTTGTCGATGCAAGAATAGTCAATATTTTTCTTTTTCAACGCCAAAAACTCCAGATAAAACATTTCGTTGCTAAGATTTGTAGTTGCTGGCATATTCTTGAAAACAGCGTCTTAGGGGCTGTTCACACTAGCAATTTAGATCGATCAAAAAGCGGTCTCAGTCCGTATCGGGCCAAGTGTGGACAGCCCAAAACGAACCGAGATCGAATCGAGGTCGAATTAAACTAGACCACCTCGGGAGGTAGTCTCGGATCGGTTCGCGCATTTAGACCGAGCTAGTTTTGGTGCTTAGCTGCCTGGCAATTTTTCGCGCGTTTTTTTTCTCCAGAGTTTTGATCGAAATTGCTCGACCGCCATTTTTTTTGTTGTTCGTCGAAGTTCTGCAAAATAATCTAGCTTTACCATGGCTAAACGAGGAGAAACCTGGAGTGATGATGAAGTATTGGCATTAATATCGATTTGAAGTCAAGAATCAATTTTAAAGATGCTGGCAACATCACGTAAAAACAAGGACATATACGGGAAAGTGCAAAACTGGAAACCCTGGGGTTCCAACGCGATTTTTCACAATGTAGAACAAAAGTTAAGCACTTGAAAACCACATATAAAAAGTACAAAGATGCACTGGCTCGTTCAGGGGCTGCAAGAGTGAAAGAACCGAAGTTTTTTGAGCAGCTAGATGTTTTTCTTGGTGACCAACCTGAGGCCACTGGAATTGATGCAGCCATCGATACTTTGTCTTCGTCAATTTTAGAAGAAACGAAAAATAAATCAGATCTAGGCAAGTGGAAATTTAATCTTTCCTTTGTATTATTGTGTTTAACTACAGATATTTTTTGCATAGTCTGCATGATTATCGTTTTCTTGCAGAAATATATCGGTTGTTTATAAAATATTTTACTTGTTTTGTAAGAAAAAATTGATTTTTCCACCTCAAAATTGCGATTCCCTCGTTTCTATTCCCCCTATACATGGTGCCATCACTGCTTGGCCATTGTTTGGGCAGTGTTTATAAACAGTAGAATTTTCTAAAACTATCTATAACTGATTCAAATTATAGGCATTTCATTTAGCTTTTTTAATTTTTAGAATTGGATTTAATAAAAAAATATGGTGAAGGGAAAAAGTTAGAGAAAAAATGCATAAACTGTGGTACTGCAACAAAGATTCGAACATCTGGGGTTCACATCAGTGATAATGGATGCATTGGTGTGTTTTCTGATGATTTTGAGTGCTCTGATTGTGGTTGCAAAGAAGCAGGTACAAGTTTTATGTGCATTGGGTTATTCCAGAAAGCATCCATACCACACCCACAGAGGAAATTAACCCTCCTACCCCCTTCGGATGTCCTAATACATTTACTATTATCAGGAACAATTTTTCTCCCCTCCCCTTACGGACGGCAGAAATTTCCTCCATGGGGGGAGTATGGATCTTTTCTGGAACAACCCATTGTAAATTGTGATACAAGGTTTTTATAATTAATTGAACTGCTTGGCCATGGAAGGTTGATATATTAGTGCATAACAGAGTGGCAGTTAGAATGTTATATTGTTATTATCTTAATAGGTGAAGATATCCATGATTCAAGTGAAGATGGTGATGATGATGATGACAATGCTTCAGAAATTATGTCTGAGTTAGAAAAAGCTGTTGGCCATGAAACTCCAGATCTTGATGCACAAGATTCTGAAGCCAGTGGATCAAAGCCATCAAATGCAAAACGCAATATTATAGGATCAATACGAAGTAACAAGAAGAAGCAAAGATTGTCAAAACAAGAAGAATTTCAAAAATGTATGGATGAATTTACAAAATCCCAAAAGGAATCAGATGAAAAAATTTTGGAAGAAATGAAACACCAGGTCAAAGTTGATGCTGAGCTACGAAAACAAGAATTAAAGGCATATACTGATTCAATGGCATTATTGGCCAATGCCATTTCAAGCAGACAGCAGCCAACTGTGCAACAACCTCTCAGTAATCAGTTTTACTTTGAAGATGAAAACAGCACCAAAACATATTATAAATTATAATAAATTATAAAAGAGGAACAGTTTATCAAACATATGACCATATTAATTACATAATTTTGGTACTGTTAACGTTTTTATGAACCAAAAAGGCAAAACGCAGCCTTTGTAAAGTTATAGTTTGCATGCATCAGTTTTTGTTAATATGTTACGCATTTTGTGCACTAAAGAAATTAGTTAGTGCTTGTCGAATGTTTATGGCAGTTGCGTCAGGGATGCGAACATCATTAATTATGTTGATATTATTATTAACATCATTCTGAAGCCACTCTGGGTTAAACTTTTCCCCATTCATTTCACATATATTATGTAAAGCACAACACGCCGCAATTTTGACAGGTAACTTCTGCAGGCTTGTATCATTTCTCTTAAGAAGACAACGAAATCGACACTTCAAACGGCCAAATGCTCCTTCTACTACCATACGTGCGCTGCTAAGACTTCTATTGAACTGGATTTGACTTCGTGAGAGATTTCCATCATCTTGAAATCCCTTAATTAGCCAGGGTAACAAAGGGTAGGCTGCATCTCCAATTAGTGTAATTGGAACTTCACAATTACCGATATTTTCTGTCCACTAAAGAAAGGTAACTGTATTATCTTTTAGGGCACATCAGGGTGCATTCCACTTAAAGGGTTATGGGAATGGGATCCATCTAAACGTTATAATACCATGATATCTTTAACAGATTTCATCACATCTCATACTTACGTTGGGGAAAAGTTGCCCTTGTTGACCCTTATGAAACAGAGATGAATTAGAGAACACTCTAGCATCATGCACCTTTCCTGGCCATTTGATATAGATGTCTATAAATCTAAAAGTATTTAAAAGAGTATCTTGTAGATTACATACACTATAAAGGTTGCACGTTATGAACTTATTTGCACTTTTATTGTTTACCTGTATGCATGATCCACTACAGCCTGCACGATAATTGAGTAGAAACACTTCCTGTTATAATAATTGGATGGGTATTCTGATGGAGCAGCAATTGGGACATGTGTCCCATCTATAGCACCTGCACACTGTGGAAATTGCCATTCTTCTTTAAACCCTTTTAATACGGATTTCAATGCCTCTCCTGTTGGCCATTTAATGACATTTTGTAAAAGCACAACAGCTATAGCCTCACACACATCATTAACAATTTGGCAAGCTGTACTCTTGCCAATATCAAATCGCCAGCCTAAAGATCTCATGTCTTCGCCTGTTGCAAGATGCCACAAGCAAACAGCTACTCTTTTTTCGAGAGTAATGGCTTTACGAAACCTTGTATCTTTCTTGTGTAAGACTTCGCTTAATTCTCTACAGATTGCAAGAAAAGAATTTCTCGACATGCGGAAATTTTCAACCCAGAGATTGTCATCGACCCACTGACTTGCGGTTCTTTCCCAAAATAAACTTTTCCCTCTGCTTGGCTCTTGCCAGAACCTTCTTAGCACCGTCTCTCGACGTAGATAGATTTCACTTAGTCTGAGAAATAAAATGGCCATTTTTTTCTTTCTGCGAAAGAAATATTTTTCCCACTTTCTTTGTCTCCTTTTTAACCTCTTAGCTAAATCTCTTGCTATTATTGCCAATCCCACAATCGCGGTGTCCGAATCCGCCATATTGAAAATTGATCTTGATTCTTGACCCCAGTCCCCATAATTTGGTACGTTAACTGCAAAAGTTCTGTGCAAGTGTGGACATTCCACTAAATTTGGCTCGCGCGATCTCGGATCGCTACAAGATCGATCCAAAATTAGACCGATCTCAACGTTGCTATGTGTGAACAGCCCCTTAATTTCAACTGAAAACATGAGTTTTCTTCACGTTTCTTCTCAGTTTTCGCATGCGTGTTTTTACATCAGGTCAGCCATGTTTTGATGCATGCAATTCACAATACTGGAATTTTAATGAATGAACAATTATCGAGTAAAAAAATAAATACGTTATTTACCGTTTCGGTCGGTCCGTACTTGAAAAATATTTCCCCTCGGTCTCAAAACCGTCCCTCGGCCTGCGGCATCGGGCCGGTTTTGAGACCTCGGGGAAATATTTTTCCAGTACGGTCCTCCCAGCCGGTAAATAACATATATGTATTTGTTGTGCTCCTGAGTACGAGATTTTAGACAAATCTCGTCGTCGGATAACGAGTTTGGTTTATACTATTGGTCGGTTTTTTTCCTTTAATGATGCCAAATTGAATTTTTAAAGCGAGAGATTCGAAATTTAGTTTGTCAAAAGACGCTTTGTTTTCGAGAAAGGTTATCATTAAGAAGTTTTTTATTTAAACGCTCGTTGCCGTTCGTATTAAACAGTAGGTCGACCACCAGTTTACGCGACGTCAACAGAAAGTTGACTATACTTTTGGCGGGAAAGCTCTCGTTCTCGTACTTGCCTGATGAAATAGTAATAATGATTTTAATCAAGTATCAAAAACCGAGTGTGGAGATTGGAAATAAAATTAAGTTTGTCTTGTTTAGAAGAACTTGTAAAATGATATGTGAAATCTCTTCACAACTTTTTCGTATCTTGCTTAGTTTGCGAAATATTTCGACCTGAAATAGCGTGCAGTCCGCCATCTTGAATATGCATTCAATGTGCAAACGTCACAACTGGGTAAAAAAAGAAAAATTTATCTTACCAACCACATATCATCTTGCAGCTAGAACGTCATTTTATGGAGCTTTTTGATTCTCCAGTTAACTCGCAACAATTTATGAAACATTTCAATGAAATTCGGTTAGATATTGAGAAGTTTTAACCACAGAATAAAGATCAGTAACAGAAGGGCCACTCAGCGGTGCAACATGTCCTCGTTTTTTTTATGCAAAAATATGCAGTTTACTGGCCAGAAGGCGGAGCAGTCAGCCAGAACAGCGTGTTTATTGGCCAGAAAATGTCATTGACTGGCTAGGAAAATGGCGGCCAGCATGCGTAATGCGACATGCGCGAGTACAGAAACTTCAAAGCTTCCGACTTAAGTGGCCCTTCTATATGGATCTTTATTCTATGGTTTTAACATGCAGGTTTATCCCAGCTGTGATGCCATTTAAATTATAAATTAAATGTTGATGGTGGTTTAGGAGAACGAAGGCAGAAACATACGATTATGGTAACCAAACCGGGAACGTTGCGAAAAATGCAACTTTGGTCCTCCTACGATCGAACCTACGCCTCTGCGATTCCGGAGCAGTGCTCTCACCACTAAGCTACGGAGAATGTTGCTTATGGGAGAAGGCGTAAATTCACGTATGTGTTAATGTTCGGGTAGTGCGGGTTTTTAAGGGTATCACTAATGGATTGGGTTTTTTTTGTCAAAAGACGCTTTGTTTTCGAGAAAGATTATCTTTAAGAAGTTTTTTTTATTTAAACGCTCGTTGCCGTTCGTATTAAACAGCAGGTCGACCACCTCCGCGTCGTCAACAGAAAGTTGGCTATACTTTTGGCGGGAAAACTCTCGTGAATTTACGCCTTCTCCCACAAGCAACATTCTCCGTAGCTTAGTGGTGACAGCACTGCTCCGGAATCGCAGAGGCGTAGGTTCGATTCCTGCCGGAGGACCAAAATTGCATTTTTCACAATGTTCCCGGTTTGGTTGCCATAATCGTATGTTTCTGCCGTCGCTATCCTAAACCACCATCAACATTTAATTTATATGTTCAAATGAAACGAAGGAAGTGCAAAAAACCCAATCCATTAGTCATTTTAATTAGGTTAATTATAAGACCATGCAAGATGGCGGGCCGCATGCTATTTCAGGTCGAAATATTTCGAAAACTGAACATGATACGGAAATGTTCTAAAGGGACTACATTCATCATTTTGAAAGATCTTTCAAATAAGACAAACTTAATTTTTATTTCCATATAAACAATTGGTCAATTTGTGTCATTTATGATAACAGTTATAGAATATAATATTCAATTCGTAAAAAAATATTTACACATTCATTTGTTTGTATAGGCTTTATATTTAATAAGACGATACTGTATATACAAACTTTACTCAGTGAGTCTATATTGCTATATGCGTAATATATATTGTATATAAATTATATTGTATATATTTATTATAATATATTTTATTATATATTGCATTGCATATATATATATATATATATATATATATATATATATATATATATATATATATATATATATATATATATATATATATATATATATATATATACTGCATGTATATATATATTGCTATGCGTATATATATTTTACATATATTGTATATATATTTATGTTGTATATATGATAGTAATTTTTCGTAGGTATTCCTTTGCCCAATTTCGCCAACAGACATGCTTTTCATGAAAACATAGAATGTTCCTCGTTATATTGTGAAATAGTTGTATTTACATGTTTGACATGCACGTTAAGATACAAAACACATGACAGTTAATTTGAAAAATGTTTTTCTGATTCTCCCCTTTGTTTTTGAAAAAAGGAAGGTCTTTTTCTCTCTAAGGTCTTTCAACTAGATATTGTCGCAAATACTCTATGAAGGCTTAAGAGGCTGTCTCCGTAAAAACCTCCAGGTCACTATGGGGCTCAAAAATAGATTTCTCTCATACTCTAGTATTTTGAAGATCTATCCTTGGGAACAACTAAAATCGATGTCATTTTACTCAAATTTCCTTTAAATTATTTTTGGGGGCGATTGATATTCGATCGACTGGTAACCAACTTGATACTCCGAATGAAGGCCAAATATCGACATATTTTCAGCGCTATTTTTTAAATCAAATTCATACCTAAATTTCAAATTTTTTGCTCAGAAATATAGACTTATCCTTCTATTTTCGCGGGTGATATGACTTAGATCATTATTCTTTGGTATAAAATAGAAAACAGCGCAGTTATTGACCCTCCTGAACGCGCGGATAAAGGATATCGTCTCAAAATATGTCAACTTCGAAAGCTTATTTCAAAATCGTGGCACTTGATTGGCACATGACTTTAACTTTTCTATAAACTACTAACATTAGTCAACACAAATC